GAGTATTGTGAACCTTGTGTATTCAAAGAATCTTGAAAGGAATCCTTCACACTCAGGTGCAAAGTATGTTCTATCCATAGTTGATTATTACTCCAGAAAGCTATGGGTATTCATCCAGAACTTTCAATAGGAAGGTCATGAGGTTTATGACCGACAATGGTATTGAATTTTGCAATGAGGCTTTCAATATCTATTGTACTGCATCTGATACTGCAAGGTTTAATCTAATCATTCTAGAAATGGCAAGGTGCATGTTGGTAAGTGCATGATTGAAGAAGGTGTTTTAGGTAGAAGCTGCATAACTGCAACATACTTGATATACAGGTGTCCCTCGGCAGCCTTGGGAATGAAGACACCTGAAGAAGTCTAGTCTGGACATCCACCTAATCTCGATAGACTTAGAGTATTTGGTTTTTTAGCCTATGATCATATTAGGAAAGACAAGGTCGAACCTAGAGCTCTGAGATGTATGTTCCTTGGATACCCTAAAGGAGCCAAAACTTATAAGCTTTGGTGCATATAGCCAGGTCACAAGAGGTGTATCACAAGTTGAGATGTAGTTTTCAATGAAACTGGGATGCCTTTCAAGAAAAATGAAAACTTTGGTTGAAGTTTGAAGGTTTCTGAACAAGAGTTAGAACAAGAAGAGATTCATGTTGAGGTGGAGCATAATGATGTTGAATTGAATGACTCAAATAAAGTCGAAGAAGATGTAGAATTTGCTTTCAAAACTGAGGAGATTGATAATAACTATCTGTTGGTAAGAGACAGGTTGAGAAGAGTCATCAAGCCATCTCAAAGACTTGGTTATGCAGATCTTATAGCTTATGCCTTAATCTTTGCAAGTGAAGTTGTGGAAGAAGAACCTAGAGACTATAATAAAATTATAAGGAGTCGAGACAAGACTGAATGGCTGAAAGCCATGGATGATGAGATGAAATCTCTTCATGATAATAACACTTGGGATCTGATCAAGAAATTTGTAGGGGTCAGGTTAGTCTGCTGTAAGTGGATCTTCATGGTTATTGAAGGAATTAAAGAGGTGATGTCAAAGCGTTCTAAGGCAAGGTTGGCAACTAGGGGGTTCACTCAAAAAGAAGGTATCAACTTCAATTATATGTTCTCACATGCTGTAAAGCATAAATCCATTAAAATGTTATTGGCTAGGGTATGCAGAAAAGTGAAAGGAAGATTATGTATGCAAGCTGAATAGATCTTTGTATGGCCTGAAACAATCTCCTCGACAATGGAATAGGAGATTCGGCATATTCATGGCACACATTGATTTCACTAGGAACCAATTCGACCACTATGTTTACTTTAGATTTTGACCCATAATTCTTGAGATTGACATCCGAAGAGATAGAAAGTAGTCGAGTTTATGCTTATCTCAAGAGGCATACCTGAAGAAGATTCTTGATAAGTTTGGTATGTCAAATTTAAAGCCTATTCTAAGACCAACTAATCTTTAGTACAAGCTGAGTTCGACTCAAAGTCCTAGTACTGAAGTAGAAAGAGCCTATATGAATAGCATTACATATGCTAGTATAGTAGGTTCTTTGATGTATGATATGGTATGTACGAGCCCAAACATAACATACAGAGTGAGCCTTGTAAACAAGTATATGACTAATCCTGGGAAGGCGCACTAAAAAGCATTAAAATGGATCTTAGGTACATCAATGAGTCTTTAAGCAGAGTCCTGATTTATGGTGGAGCCTGTGGTGATGATAACGAACTCAAAATCGAAGGATTTATCGACTGTGATTGTAAGAGTTATATGGACTCCAGAAAATCTATTTATGAATATGTGTTCACTATGTTTGACATAACAGTCAGTTGGAAAGCGACACTTTAGAAGGTTGTTGTCTTATCAACCCTTGAAGTAGAATATATTCCCCTCATCAAAGTTGTGAAAGAAGCATTGTGGCTTGAAGGTTTTGCTAAGGAGTTGAAACTTTAAGGTCGAGTTATCATTGTTAACTGTGATAGTCAAAGTGCAATACACATGTCGAAGAACTCAACCTATCATGAGTGAAGCAAGCACATCAATGTGAGGCTACACTTTGTCAAAGATAATCGAGCATGGAGAAGTCCAAGTGCTAAAGGTTTTGAATGATGACAGTGTTGCTGATATGATCACCAAGACATTACCAAGTAGAAAGTTTTTCTACTGTATATAGTTGATAAAGCTGGACGATGAAAGCTAGGTTGTTCCCTTGTTAGTGTAGAGTTTGTTCCAAGGTGGAGATTTGTGGTATTTGGATCAAACTCTAGTGTCGACAAGGATAGTCTTATGATTCGATATGAGTTGTGTATGCTAGAGTCGAAGTTTGTTCAAGCACGCTGTCAAAATTTGTTAGCTTTGTGTTTAAGTTAGCTTGTCGAATTAGGCCTTGTCTGTAAGCCCAATTATTTAAGTTTGCTTGTTTCTCAAGTTAGCTTAGTAGTCTATAAATAGGCTAGTTCTCTCAGGTTGTTGAGAGAGGTTAATTGTTGGTATTCACTTGTAATCTTTGAACCCTTATTGAAAAAGTGAATAGTAAAATAATTTTAACCATTTCTTATTCTTCTTTCTTCTTTTCTCTCTTTTGTAAAACCTAATAGAGTTTCTTTTGTTTGTTTAAGAAACTCAATCTTTATCTCATATTTTGGTTTGTTAATGAGGACATCAATTCACAATAAATTTCTTTGGGAAAAAGTTATTTTCCAAGAATACTCCAATTCGATTGTAAAAGACTTTTCCTTTAGAAGGATTGTAGAAGTAATACCCTTTTGTTTCTTTAGGATTCCCCATAAAAAAGAATTTATCAGATTTGGGATCAAGCTTAATTGAAATTCTTCATTTCACATAAACTTCGCAACTCCAAATCTTCATGTAAGACATATGTAGTCTCTTACCACTCCATATCTCATATGGTATCTTTTAAACTATTTTAGATGAAAAATGGTTAAGTGTGTAAGTTGTTATTAATAGAGCATGTCCCCAAAACGAGTTTGAAAGATCATTGTGACTCATCATAAATCAGACCATGTCTAACAAGGTTTTGTTTCTTCTCACATATGTATCATTCCATTATGTGTTCTAGGAGGAGTGAATTGGGATAAAATCCAACACTCTTTTATATGACCATCAAATTTTATGCTTATATATTCATCACCCAGATCTTATTAAAAGGGTTTCAATATTCTTGTCTAGATGGATTTATACTTCATATTTTAAATCTTTAAATTTTTCAAAGGATTTGTATTTGTGTTTCTTTAAATACACATAACTATATCTACTATAATCACCAGTAAATATGATGAAGTATTGAAAACCTTCTCAAACTGGTGTGCTCAGTGGTCCACATACATTATTATGTATGAGGGCCAAAAGATCACTAGCCCTTTCACCTTCCTATGTGAATGGAGACTTTGTCATCTATCCAAGTAAACAAGTTATGCATGTCTCATATGATTCATAATCAAAAGAGTCTACGAGTTTGGAAATGTGTTTTTCATTTATGTGGCATAAACGACAATGTCAAAGATAAGTCAAATTTAACTTGTTAGTTTTTAATCCTTTTAGTATTAATGTTAAAAATTGTCATTTCAAGATTAAGGATATACCATCTATTATTCATTTGGGTAATATTATAGAATATATAATTTAAATACATATAACAACAATTGTTCTTAATTATAAATAAAAATTTAGACTTGTCCAAACAAGAAACAAAAATTATATCCCCGCTAATTACAGGTACATAATAGTCTTTCATTAACTAAATTGATAAATCACTAGGTAAAGTTAATAGGACTAAAACTACAAACTTTGCTTCATTTTCAAATCTTAGATCAACTTTATCTTTTTACAAATCTTTACTCCTTTTTAATCCTGCACATTAGTACATATGTGAGAATTACATCCAATATTCAATACACATGGTGCATAAGTAGATATATTTATTTCTATAACAAAAACACTTGAAATTGAAGTATATATTTCATTTTTTTTAATCTTTTAGATACTTTAAGCAATTTCTCTTCCATGTTACCATAATATCAAATACCCTCCTTAGTTATATCTCCGCTATACTTCAAAAGACGAGTAATAAATTTGGTTATGGCAACTTGCTTGCCCTTTTCTTTAATATTATTAATAATAATAACAATAATAATAATAATAATAATAATAATAATTTGATATTTAACATAATATTAAATTTAGATTAAACAATTTAATATTTAAGTAATTTTACTAATTATTAACAAATAAATATATTTGCAAATATGAATACATCAAATCTGGATATATATGCCCATAAAAAAAAATTAAATATATATTTATTTTATCTATAAATATTTATTAAACTATCTAATATATTTGTGACGGATTTTACTTTCGAATACTCACAAATACAAGAATTCCTATGATTAATTCTTTATCTCATAAATTACTAATACTATCTTATACATGTTCACTATTCTCAAAAGTTATACATCTAGAAACTGGGCATTCAGCATCTAATAAATTAGTCTTAAAGACCTCTCACTTTATCTCTCTTTATAAAGCAAATCTAAAACATTTGAGATATTCTTTTTATACTTTTATATAATTATATCAATTTTACATCACATTACAACATAGTTTATTCAAAATTTAAAATATGTATAAATATATATTATTGTTTTATCACACAAATAATGTAAATTTCAAATAAAATTAAATAAAAAAATATGATTTATACTTTTACATTTGTGATCAATACATTTTTTATCCCTAAAAAAATGGATAGACTGGCATGGACAGAATGCTATTAATTTAAGAAAAAGGAAAGACCTACTAAAGATTCTATTTTACTATATTTTAGAGATTTCTTAATGTAGAAGCATTGCGTCGTTGTGCAATAATATTACCAGTAAAGATAATTTTACCATAGAGACTACAAGTAAAGTACCAACAACATCACAACTGCTGCTTGTGTCATGTATCTCTCTCCAACAATCACAAGAAGATGGCAATTCCTTCCACTTTCTCGACTCAAGCAAACGCGCTTCTCAGAAAGAACTTAACCTTCCAGGTACTTTACCAAATTAACATTTCACAGTTCATTCAAAATAGCTTCTTCCATGCCATAACATAACACTACGCATTTTCCGTTTTGAAGAAACGCAACAAGAAGACAAACATTCGGCTGATTCTATTCCCGTTCGTCCTCTGCGTCTTTCTGTTTCTCCTCCAACCTTTAATCGACAATCAATTCGATAAACCCCAATTCAAATGCGGTTGCGTTTGTATCAACAACAGCACTACGTGTAACGGCTCAGAGAAGCTTTGTGGAATTGAGTATTCCGATCAGAATCAAGTTTTAGCGTGTGCTGTTCCTAGTCCACCGGAATGGCCTCCTCTCTTGCAACTTCCGCCAGGAAAGCCGTGGTATCCGCCGCTTTATACCATGCTCTTCACAGCTGAGAATCACTCCTTTGGACAGAGTATAACTTGTTTTTAATCAGTTACTATTATAGTAGTATTATGTTTCAATTTTCAATTGCTTCATCTCTCTTTTGAATTTTGATAATTTTGATACATTCGCATTGTCTTTTGTTTGCACAGTTGTGTCTGACAATATGTTTCCGACTGTTTTAACTATGGAATACTCTGATATCATGGCTAGTTTGGCATCAAATATGCTGGTAATTTTATTTATTTCTCTCTAGATTTCAAATGTTTCTATAATTTTGGGTATTAAGTTGTTGTCGTCGGTGAAACTGTGGAAATAATTTAGGGATCTGAGGCAATGCCGGAGAGCAACAATTTTCTTGAACCTGCTTTCACTTCAGATCTTCCCATTTATTATGTGCAAAGTAAGTGCCCTCAGGACGACCTTCTATTCCCACCAATTTACTCCGTAGGAGAAGCTGACGCGCAGCAGTATATGGAAACATTTCCATACACGATAGCAGGCTTTCACGTGGATAAAGGTATGAAATTTCCTTCTAATGGTAATTTGTGATAACATAATCAATAGGTGATGCCGTGCGTGCGTGCATGCATACAGCTGTTTTATAGTGGAAATTGATAATCTAATGTGCCATTTTTTTTTATGTTTCCATGAGCTGTGTAGACTAAGGATATCCTGGATGTGTTTATATGGCAATGTGTCAATATGGACGTGCAATGTTTGACAAAGACTGTGTTGATAATGGTTGAATTTATTTCCCCGTGATGTAGAAATCGGATGTGCTGATGGTATAAATTTATGGCGTAAAAATTCTTCTGAGATCAATAATGAGTTATATGAAGGTCATGAAAGAAGTTCCCCACAGCGGATCAATCCAATATTTTCAGGTACTTTTATCATTATGTTTCAACATACATAATGTGTGGAAGATAATACTCATGTTTATATATTGTTTCGACATTTGACAGCTTTTGATTTTCTAAATTCAAATGAGAATGGATTCAATGTTACTGTATGGTACAAGTCAACCTACAAGGATGTCACTAATTTTGGTCCTCCTGCATTGTTGCGAATTCCTCGTTCTGTAAATTTGGTATATATCTAAAACTTGTTTTAATCGTTGCTTCCTTGTTGGAAGATAATAGTCACTGATAACTAGCATCATTATGCATGCAGATATCAAATGCCTACCTGCGATTTCTGCGTGGACCTGGTACCAAAATGTTATTTGAGTTTGTAAAGGAAATGCCAAAATCTGAGACCCCATTAAGGATTGAGATAGCTTCTCTCCTTGGCGGTCTGTTCTTTTCATGGGTCGTCCTGCAACTCTTTCCGGTAAGTACAGAAATATCTAAACAAATTTATCAGCATGAAATATATTGCATTGCAGAATTGATAACTACTGGCCAATTTTGAAATTTGAAATAGCTGTGATATTCTTACCTATCTCTAAGTCAGCTTTATATGTCTGTAAACATGATGTAAGTATACATTCATTTTGTATTTTCTTCTCATGGAGCAATACATGGCTCGGATTCAAAGTCAACAATTGCATCTAACATTGAACGCAAACACAACAGAATAGATGTTTTAGTTGATTTTATCTGTTCAGCATGAGTAAGCTCTATATGCATTTAATGTAGGTTGTTCTGACATCACTGGTTTATGAGAAGCAACAAAAATTAAGAATCATGATGAAAATGCATGGTCTTGGTGATGGGCCATATTGGATGATTACATATGGTTATTTTCTTGCCTTATCAGTGATCTACATGTTGTGTTTTGTGACATTTGGCTCAGTATTAGGTAAGAATATAACCATTAACTGTCTGTTCTTGACATTTTCAAATTCTATCTAATGTTGCTAACTTCATTTTCAGGACTGAAATTCTTTACCTTGAATGACTACAGCATCCAATTCGTGTTTTATTTCATCTACATAAACTTACAAATTTCATTGGCATTTCTGTTGGCTTCGTTTTTTTCAAGTGTCAAGACTGCTACAGGTTTATTGATAACTACTTCAAGTGGTTTACAATGAAGAGTGTTAATATTGTTGATAGCTACTTCAAGTTCTCAGATCTCATTACTGACTTGCATTTATAATATTTGCAGTAACTGCATACATAGGGGTCTTTGGAACCGGGCTATTATCCGGGTTTCTTTTCCAATTCTTTATCCAAGATTCATCATTTCCAAGTAAGTTATATGACCGAAGAATTATACCATTCCAAGTTGTTCATATCGTTTCCACAATGATTAGAAGTTTTATCTGCATAAATTTCACATCAATCTCTTTTATATGTATCACATGCCTCTGTTGGCACCTTCAAACCTTCTACCTTGTTGAGTTCCTATACAATTTATGCAGGAGGATGGATCATTTTTATGGAGTTGTATCCTGGGTTTGCTTTATATCGTGGGTTGTATGAGTTTGCACAGTCTGCCACCAGTGGCAGTAATGTGGGGACTGATGGTATGCGGTGGCATGATCTGAGTGATAACGCGAATGGCATGAAAGAGGTCTTAATTATCATGTTTGCTGAGTGGATAGTAGTGCTTTTTGTTGCTTATTACATCGATCAAGTGTTTTCGACAGGAAGTGGAAAAAGTCCACTTTTTTTCTTGAAAGGATTTCAGAAAAAACCTCTTTCATCATGTAAGACGCTCAGTTTTCAAAGGCAGGGGTCAAAAGTTTTGGTTCAGATGGAGAAACCAGATGTCATCCAAGAGGTTAGCTTTATATTGTTGAATAAATGAAATCTTATTATATGTTAACCTTATTATGGATTAAGAAATTAAGGCATCCCAAATGCGGCATTCAGCCTCCTAGCAATAGACTGCAATAATGGGGGAGTTTCCCACACAATCCTTTTCTATTTTGAACATCAATTTTTGACTATAAAAAAATTTAACACCAAAGAATGAGTCTTCAATAAAGCAGCTCCAGTGGGGTTCTTGAAGTAGATTTTTAGCTTTAAGAGTTCTTAACATATTTAGCATTGGAGATGAATGAATCGGTTTGGCAGCATAATGTATTAAATGATTTCTTCTTTTTGTTTTTAGAGGGAGAAGGTGGAGCAGCTGCTACTTGAGCCAACCATTGATCATGCAATTGTTTGTGACGACCTAAAAAAGTTCTATCCAGGAAGGGATGGAAATCCAGGGAAATTTGCAGTGAGAGAATTGTCCCTTGCTGTGCCTCGAGGGGAATGCTTTGGTATGCTTGGTCCTAATGGGGCCGGGAAGACTTCTTTTATCAGTATGGTCAGTTTAAAGTTGATTTTGTTCAATATATTCAGACTTTTGGAAAATTACATGATACATATGTGTCTGATCCATACATATAAGAATGTATGGATCTCTGATACTATAATTCAATGAAACATTTTTTATCCTTTGAATGGTTTTCTCCTTAATTTATAAACTAATCAGCTTGTGTGCTTATAGATGATCGGTCTCACTAAGCCAACATCTGGTGCGGCTTATGTTAAAGGTCTCGACATAAAAACTCAGATGGATGGAATATATACTAGCATGGGAGTATGCCCACAGCACGAGTAAGTAGAAATTTCTTTCAATGTTTATGTTTTTCCTGAAACCTGATTTGTATCAATTGAAACAGTTTCTAAATTTATTTCTCATGATATTATAGCTTGCTGTGGGAAAGCTTGACAGGTAGAGAGCACCTCCTTTTTTATGGTCGCCTTAAAAATCTTAAAGGTCCAGTATTGACTCAAGTAAGTTCATTCCACACGAATTCCAGTTTTGGCATTTGTTTTGTTTGGCAGGGAAATTTTAACTATTTATCTTCCATTCTATTGTTACAGGCAGTAGAAGAATCTTTGAAGAGTTTAAACCTTTTCCATGGAGGGGTTGCTGATAAACAAGCTGGAAAATACAGTGGAGGGATGAAGAGGAGGCTTAGTGTTGCAATTTCCTTGATTGGAGACCCCAAAGTTTGTTTTTTTTCCAACTTAATCTGATCATTTTCTATTTTTAATTAAAGAAGAAGATTCAAGTTTTCTTATCTTGTACATACTAATTTAAATTTAGGTTGTTTATATGGATGAGCCGGGTACTGGATTAGACCCTGCTACAAGGAAATGCCTATGGAATGTTATCAGGCTTGCGAAACGGGATCGTGCAATCATTCTGACGAGTATTCTAGCACTCTTTTGTGGACTTATTAGCAATATATTATGAAAAAATATGTATTTCTCTCTCTACATATATAGATTGATAAATCTTAGTTTTTTGCTTTCAGCACATTCTATGGAAGAGGCAGAGGCGCTATGTGATCGATTAGGAATATTTGTAAATGGTACCTTGCAGTGCATTGGAAATCCAAAAGAGGTACACTCTACCGTTTAGTTTTTTCAAGTTACTGCCAAATAGAAAGTGTAACTTGAATCATGTATAGTTTGACTTTTGTTGTTTTGTCATAGCTGAAAGGCAGATATGGAGGAATCTATGTGTTCACAATGACAACATCTTCCGAGCACGAGAAGGATGTGGAGAACATTGTACAACAGCTCACCCCAAATGCCAACAAGATATACCATCTCTCTGGTACTCAAAAGTTTGAGCTTCCAAAAGAGGATATTAAAATAGCGAATGTATTCAGAGCTGTTGAAGTTGCGAAAAGAAATTTCACTGTTTTTGCATGGGGTTTAGCTGACACCACATTAGAAGATGTCTTTATTAAGGTAGCCCGCGAGGCTCATGCATTTGATACCTTGTCATAATATTTACAGTATGCAAGATTATGTATTATAGTCGTATGAAGAAAAATGAACCCCAATTCAAGATGGAGAATTGGCCTTCATTTCTCTTCCATTTTATAATGTTTCTTTTCCCTTCTTTAAGTCAGAAACAAATTAGAAAAGCATCTCACAAACAAAAGACTTGTAGGGCTGTAGCTTCACCTTCAGCAATAGGAAGATGCTATAATCGAAAGAGTCTGTGTTAAAAGTTGTAATTCGATGTTCTGATTAAGAGTTAGCATTCGACTGGGTCGAAGTAGTTAGTCGAAGTTGTAGCAGTCAGGTGTATTCGACAGAGTCGAATGCAACATATAGTAGTGTCGAAATGTAATTTGTAATTTTATACTTTATATTTTGTATAGTTTGAGTCTGGACTTTAGTTGTCTATATAAAAGGTCTTTTATGATAGGTCTTTTATGATGTAAACAAAAAACTTCACTCAATCTTAATTTTCATAATTCTATTTTTAGTTTTCTCTCTTCTTCTCCGTCTTTCATCTTTTTGAAAAACTTTTGTTTGACAAATTGGTATCAAGGAATCCGGTAGCGATTCAGAGAGAATCTGTAATGGCAAACGAAACAACAACATCAACATAATTTTCAGCGAATCTATTGGTTTTCAAATGGGAGAACTATGATCGGTTGGTTGCACAAATGAAGGTCATTTTCAGATTTCAAGATGTGTTTGAAATTGTGAACGATAGAGTATCAACAATGGAAGCGAATGCAGATGATGTTCAGCAAAGTGCACACAAGGAACGAAGAAAGAAAGATGGAAAATGTATGTTCTTGATTCACCAGTGTGTGGATTCTAATGTGTTTGGGAAGATTATCGAAGAAGAAACAACAAAAAGAGTGTGAGACAAGTTGAAAAGCTTGTATGGCGGAGACGAAAAATTGAAAATGATGAAGTTGAAGAAGTTGAAAAAGCAATTCGAGATGACTCAGATGAAGGAAGATGAATCAGTCTTGGAATATCTTTCACATGTGATGCTGCTAACGAGTGAGATGAAGGTGTGTGGTGAATCAATCAATGATTTGCAGAAGATTAAGAAAGTGTTGAGATCTCTAACTGTAAAGTTTGATTACATTGTAGTGTCAATTGAAGAGTCCAAGAACCTAGCTGAGATGAAGTTAGAAGAACTTCAAGCTTCATTAGAGGTTCATGAGATGAGGCTAAAGCAGAGGAACTCAGAAAGGGAGAAGGTGGTTGAACAGGCACTACAAGCAAGATTCATCAAGAAATATAGGAAAAAGAAGGGTAAGAATTTTGCTAATGATGAGAAGTCAAGCAAGAACTCAAATAACCACTCTGATTCGATCAAGAAAGGCATGAGCAACAAGTATTTTGGAAAGAAAGTTGACATGAATGAGGTGCAGTGTTACAACTGTCAAGGATTTAGTCACTATGCTCGAGACTGTCGAAGAAAGAAGGAAGCACGAGCAAAAGATAGTGATGAAGTACAATATGCATAAGTTGAAGATATTGATTCTAATGATGTGCTACGCATGGCCAACACTCAGTCGAACACTGAGCAAACCGACATGTGGTACCTGGATTCAGGATGTAGTAACCACATGTCTGTCAATAAAACCTAGTTCACCAAGCTAGATGAATCAGTCGAGAAAATGATAAAGTTTACAGATGGCAGTCACATCACATCAGGTGGAAAAAGAGATATCTCTGTTGTCAGGAAGGATGGTGGAAAAACTAGCATCACTGATGTGTTGTATGTACCATCGATGACAAATAACGTGATAAGTGTAAGTCAATTACTTGCAAAAGGGTACAACATGAAGATACAAAAGAATCACATGAAGGTGTATCATAGTGATGACAGGCTGATTCTGAAGGCATCCTTGGCAAATAACATGATTTTTAAAGTAGAGATCAATCCAGTGGATCACACGTGTCTTGCTTCGATTGCAGAAGAAGATAAGAATTAACTATGGCATTATAGGTATGGACATTTAAACTTCAGAATTTTAGGTATGCTCAACCAGAAGAGGATGGTGTATGGCTTACCTTTAGTGAAAGAACCAAGTCAGGTGTGTGAGAAATGTTGCAAAGCAAAGCAGGCTAGGAAAGCATTCAAGCATGAACTTTCAATGAGTTCGAAGGAAATGCTAGATTTAGTTCACTCTAATGTTTGTGGACCATTTGAAGTGATGTCGAATGGAGGTAACTACTACTTCATAACTGTTATAAATGAATTCACTAGATATATGTGAATTTATCTTATTGAAAGGAAGAGTGAGGTATTCACACAATTCAAGAAGTTCAAATTGCACGTCGAAAAGCAAAGCGGATACAAGTTGAAGAAATTGAAAACTGATGGTCGTTGTGAATACACCTTCGAAATTTGCTAAATTTTGCAATGAGGAAGATATAGAGCATGAGGTCATTGCACCCTATACACCTCAGCATACTGGCATAGCTCATAGGAACAATCGAAGTATACTGAACATGACTAGGAGCATGTTGAAAGCTAAAGATATGCCAAAGAGATTTTGGGATGAAGCAGCTTCGTAGCAGTATACATACTAAATATATGTCCAGCCAAGAAGATGGATTAGAAGACTCCTTATGAGGCTTGGACAGATGTGAAGCCGAATGTTAGTCATCTTAGAGTCTTTGGATCAATGAGCTTTAGGCATGTACCTGAACAATTAAGGAAGAAACTAGATGGTCGAAGTTAGACTATGATGCTCATAGATTATCATTGGCTGATGCATACAAGTTGTATTCACCAAATGGTGATAAACTAGTGATCGGTAGAGACGTTCTAATGGATGAAAGGATATGGTGGGATTGGAGTCTTGGGTCAGTTTGACAGGAGTTTAATACAGTTACAATTATGATTGAAGAAGACCAACAAACTGAAGTCCCAACAAATCGAAATGAGGAAGCAACTGAGAAAAATGTTAGAAGATCGACTAGAACAAGAACTGGGTCGGCAAGGCTAGCTACATATGAGACATTTCCAGATCAAGCAGTCGATGCAGATGGTGACTTAATAGAAGAAGCAGTGATGATGGTTGAGGCAAAACCAATCTACTTGGGTCAAGCCATGAATGATTCGAATTGGTTAGCAACCCTGAAAGAAGAACTCAGGTCAATCGATAAGAACAAGAGCTGAGAGATTGTCGAAAAGCCAATCACCAACAACCGCTAACCCATCCACACGCAGACCTAACAACATATGGACATCCTCCAAGGTCACCGTGCATTCACATAACGAGAAATGTGTGGGAAAGTGAAATGTGTGGGTTTCTGGTCTCCATCTTTTGCACAAAGCGAGAAGAATTTTTCGATCAATTTCATATGAAGTTATGTTGATAACGTGACCGAAACCCGCTTGTACCAAATATGGTTTGATAATTTCATCAGGCTCTGTGTACTTATGTGAGTGTGGTTTGAAATTTTTTCATCCTACAAAAAAGGTATATAACATTATAAACATAATTATAAATACAATTATAAATAATTATAGACATTATAAACATAATTATAAATACAATTATAAACATAATTGATTTGACTTGATCAGAAGGGGATCACGGGCTGGCCACACGCTGTTGGACTGCTACCTGTTCATCGGTGGTGAGGAGGAGAAGGGGGTGTACCTGCAAAACACTCTGATGCCAAAGTAAGGAGTTGAGCAGAGTGAGAGCAAAGTACAGAAAATGGGTAAGAAGTGAATTACCTTGCCCTCTTGTGGAAGAGGGTATTTATAAGGAGACCCCAGCGCTGGGCCAACGGTCACTTGTGTTTGGCTGGATTGACAGGCCCAACTCAGGTGACTGCTAGGGCTTACGTGGCGTGGTGAAGACCAGGACGCGGTCTTCGCCCTAGTCCAACTGTCCCGTGGTCTCCGGAAGGTGGGTTTGACCTGCTCTTTCGGAGGTGGGCAGTTGGTTGGTGACGTGTCCCCGCGGAGGGGAGCACGTGGAGAACGTGCGCGGGGCACGTTGCTCTCCCCGTGGAGGGAGAGGGTCCTGCCCGCGGAGGGCAATGTCTGCTGGACGGGGAGCCTTCAGCCCGACGTGGGGGTAGGCCTTCCCGCGGGGAGGCCTCTCTGGCTTGCCGGGGATCTCGTGCCCGGACAGAATAGGGCTTGGTGGGCCATTATTGGACTGGGCCCGCGTAGTCAGCCCGGGGCCCAGGCCAGAACAGGAGCCCCCCAAGTCGTTGCTCTGAGGAAGGGGGCGAGGACTTGATGACGTCGTTCTGGGGAAGTGGATTGGCCCGAGGGAAGATCCTTCGACGCGAACACGCGTGTTCTACGTCGTCGACAGCCCGGGCTTAGAGGACGGGTGTTGGTGAGGTGAGGCGAAGGGGCGCGACTACCTGCTTCCGCCATGTGTCGAGTGCGGGGCGCGACTGCCTGCTTCCGCCACGTGTCGAGTGCTGGGTGGATGCTAGGGCGGCTACTCAAGTGTCTAGCGACGCTTTGAGTCCCGTGCAGGGGTATAAGTACGCGAGCCCCTGCTCATTTCTCACTTTTCGCCCTCTTGTTCTTAAGCTTTCTGCCTGTTGTCTCGCTGCCGTCTGACATCTCCGCCGCTACCACCGTCGTAGATTTCATCACAGTAAGTTTCCTCCATATTTTCTTCTGTTTTTCTCGTTTGTTTTGTGACCGCGGTCGGGGCCGTTTGAATGCCCCGAGGAGAGGCGATGATCTCCGCCGTTCTAGGGTTTTTTTTTAGGGTTTTTGTTATGAATGTCCCGGGGAGAGGCGATAGTTCCGATGAGTATCCCAGGGAGGGAAGCTTTTTCCGATGAATGTCCCGGGGAGAGATTCTTTTCTCCGATGAACGTCCCGGGGAGCGACGTCTATTTCGACGGACGTCTCCGAGGAGGGTTTGCAGTTCGGGCCACATTGGTGTCCAGGGATGTGGTAGGTTAGGGCAGATCCTCCGGGGACGATGCTCGGGGAGTCCTCGTCTCCCTTTCACTTGACTTGCGGTGGAAGGGTGAAT